ACACAAGACCATTCACAAGTAATGGGTGAATAATGACAAAGGAATGCTTTTGTTGCAGTTCGCATGAATAGCTTGTGACTTGAATTCGGACTGGAGGGCTTGTGGTGGTTCTTTTTGGTCTTGTGAAGGCCTTAAGTAGTCTCAACTACATCACTGGTATTGATGTGAACTTGGGTGTGACATTTTACAGCTGTGTTGGTTTGTGTACATGAGATGTGCTGTGGGGAACAGTGAAGCTACGACCACCACTTTTGTTTACATCATACGTTAATGTTTTTAACTGGGCCAATTTCACCCTTATTGAGTGGAATGCCAGTAGATTACAGCAAGTTGTTGTTTTAAGAAGAGGTACGGATCCCTACACAGCAGGCAACAGTTGAATAGTGCACAGGGGTAGCATTTCAACACCTGATAAATGATCAACCTCTGGGGATTTGCCAAACAGTGTTTGTGTACAAAACCTGGAAAACAAGATGTGTGTTCTTTCTCATTCATTGTGGGGACCCTACACATGTAGTAAAGACAGATTCATTTGGGGAACAAATATTTTCCCTTCAACTCGGTCCAAAATTTCCCAACTAAACAAAGCTCCCCCACTACCTGGCCAGCAAGGCATCTTTACTGTTGTGCATTATTTTGCCTGATAATTCGGAGTGGGATGTTGTTTCCTGGTCGTGGTCTCTTCTTACAACAGAACGCTTCCAGGAATGCTTTCCTGAATCTCTCACTGCCAACATTGAAGATGATGGGATTAATGGACGAGTTGATTAGTATCAGTAAAGCAATTGCGCAACTGGCAGTATCGGCATAGTTAATCCACACTTCACCTGTCATGAAATCAGGATGTGTACGCTGTACTACAAAAAGAACCAAATCTATTGCTGTGGGGAGATAGCAGCCAAAAAAGATTCCATTTACAACTAGAGTCAAGGTCACCTGCTTTTGTCTCCTGCTCACTTGTGCGGTTTCAGAAGTAACTGGTGATGGTTTTCGAATTGCTTTTATGATCAGCACATACAGGACAAAATTAACGAGTAATACCAAACAAAGTACAGAAACCAAGACAAGCTCATATGCCAATGGTAGCTGCTGTAATTTCCGATTCTTCAACAGACCCGTCAGAGAGTCATACTGATCTCCAATTGGCCCTATCTGACAAACATATATCCAAGTAGATTGTCTTTGAACCAAGGTTGCAATGCCAAATGCGATTGGAATAAGCCACGCCACTGTTGCCAACATTACTGCTCGTTTCTTGGTCTGAATTTGGTTATATTTAAATGGATGACAAATAGCTATGTACCTCTCAACAGTGATTAGGGTACAGAAACTTTTACCAAGATCCAGTGACATGTCAAGCACCATCACGGACACCAAAAAGAATGAAAAGTATGCATCACTAAAATTCCCATAGTCTGACCTGTAGCGTGTGTGTATAATCTCATGTTGATCAGGTACAAACCCGTTGATTAATATAATTGTGTCTGCCACTGCTAGATTTGCGAGATAAAAGTTTGCAGTGTTGCGCAAGTCACGTACTCGAAAAAGGGTGAAAAAATAGGCCAGATTAGCTAGTAGGCCAAATGCCTTAATGAAGGGGACCATGTATTTAAAGACAACTATATCTATGGTTGAATATTCAAGAAGTCGGACGTCCTCTTCAGTTATATGGGCAACGAATTGAGAATGATGGAAATACTTCATCTCTGTGCTACCTCCTGCAGCTGCATGGACAGCAGCATCAGATGAAATGGTTGCTTGGTCGTCATTACTTTGTATGAGAAGAAGTGATGGATCATTGGATAAGACATACGCATTAGCCCCACACTCGGCAGACTGATTCTGTACAAGGCATGTCAACATGGTACACATGATTAAATCAAGTTGATATGTAGTCATAGAGGCATTTCCATACACAAATGCCTCAAAAATATCCAAATCGCCAAACATCTCAATCTTGTTGAACTCCTCAAGTTTTTATTCAAAACGTATATCTAATTTGTTTTACTTTTTCTAGCTGGCAACTGAGCTGATTGTATTTTTCCTCTGTCAAAGTATTCTACTTTCAAATATCAGGATTTTTCAGATTTACTTAACTTGAAATTCAAAATTGTTCTGCTCTGATGCCAATAGATGTTGTGTTTCAATGCATATCTAAGTTGCCATTGTGGAGTTGTTGGTACATGCAATTTGGAGACGGTCCCGGCTGGTTCCCTGAGTGATTTTACATTTGTGCACCAACCAGTCAACATTCGTTGGTTTGGGCTTCAAATCAGCAACTGTAGGCCTGAGCATAAAATTGATGTTAGAGAAATCATGTCAAATTGATCAGTAGCCCAAGTAAGGATCAGTTGGATCATTAAGATCACATGCTCCCCCAGCATATGCCCATGGTTCCTTTCCTCCCTGAAATCTGTGAGTCATCTCCATTGAAGTGATCTCTTTGAAATGAGCATTTTAGGAGCAGCACATTTTCTTGCAGTGCCCCCTTGAAAAAAATATGTGCACCTCAGGTTGCCCCGCGGACATTTAGCTTTAGTTACGCCACTGACTTACACAACAATCATCAAAGGAACAGAACTTCAGAATAGAAAAATATGAAACATGTCAGCATTTTTTGCATGAAATCAATATAATTTTGAGACTCAGTACTTGGAATGACATCACAGATTTGCTTATGATTATGGAAATAGTCACGAGTGTAAAAACCAAAAGGCTTTTTAAAACATGCACTAACATAGCAAAATGGAAAGTGAAACTAAAACTTTCAAACATTGTGGTTAAATAATTGTTTTCATGGACCCTTTAAACCCACCAGTGGCACTTTATTGGCAAAGACACGACATAGGTGTTAAACAAAAGAATATATTTCCCTCATATATACTTTATGTGGAGACTTTTCTTTTGTTCACTGGCTATTGAGACTAAACCCGGAGATTTCAATCCATTGCTGTTTTTAATCAAAGGGAATGTTGAGTTTTCCATAAACAAACAAGTAGCCAACTCCAGTGTGAAACAGACTTCAGAAAACTGGCTTTGGGAATCTGACTTGGCTATGTCCTGCTTACCGGTCAAGTATGGTAAGCTTAACTCAATTTATTATCCACTGGTTTACACGACTATTTTTAAACATAAATTTTGCACTTACCCTTCAGTGTGTGTGGTTTTCTTTGAAGTGAAGAGACAATGATGGAAAATAGAAAATAGTGTCGTTCACTCTTGAAAGTGATAGAAGACAGAGCTGGTATTAAGTGTGACCAAAAATGTCTCTGTCTGATCGTCTTTGTGATTCTGCTGCCAAGTGTTGTTGTTCACAATGTTCCGGTTGTAAGATATTCTCTCGTGCAAAGAAAAGCTTAGATCTTCTTAGAGACAGGACTGCAAAATGGCCACTCGGAGTCACAGTTGAAGAAATGAAAGGTGCAGTACTAGCCCCAACAGATTATTTGTAAACTTGGAAGAGAAATCTCTCTCAAGTGTCGGCAAGATGAGACTCAGTTAGTAGTCAGACACCAACAAGTTTACCGTAGACACCCTTGGAAAATTAAGTACTGAACTCTTGGGTGGACTGTCAGCTGATTGGTCAGCTTTTAGTGAAGGTGATTGTGATTGGGCCAAGCAAATTATGGTTTATGAGCAAGACTGTCAATCAACTTGTGATCATAATGCATTAACACATAATTCTGTATGTGAAAGTGAAACAAGACTTGCTTTTCTTCTTTTTTCTTCCTGTTTTAAAAAGTTTAAGTTTGTCAATGCACATACGAGTAAGGATTATTGTTTGCGATTATTAAGGAAGAAACTTCTTAGACAAGACATCATCTTTTTTATAAGCAAAACAGTTGTCAAGTTTGACTTTAAAACTAGAAATGTGGCCAAGGAAAAGCGTGTTGGGGAGAATTTGAATAATTAATATAAAACACCCTCAACGAATTGTCATGCTTTCTCAATTGTTGATTGGAATTGTTCAGTTTCCTTCTTTGAACAAGTTTCACTGTGAATTCTTCAAAGTGTCATATATCAGACAAAAACTGAAACCTCAGGGTGGATTCTGGGATATTTCTTGACATGATAAAACTTCCTTATTGGAAATTGTATACTTCCATGTATTCAGTGCAGTCAATTTGTTAAACTTATGTAGTTCAGCTAAGGCATGTAATTTATAAAGATATTATTATTACATGTAAAGTTGGACTTTTAAGGCCTCACATTTAATAGTTTTGGCATATCACAATATATTTTGAACATTTCTGGTTTCAATAGAGGCAGATTTTAGTGACAAAATTGAATGAATTCGAGAAATTGGGAAGGCAGACTTGTAGATTGAGGTTTTGTCACTGTTACTACTTTTTAACAACTTTTTTCAGTTCCAGAGATTTAAACCCTCAACTGTGGTCGGATTTGAGGCCTTTCTTTTTTTCCATTCTGTAACATATGATTACCATATCTAAAGAACCGAAAATTGCACTGTCTCCAACTTCTGAGACTGGGTCAAGGGAAGGGAGCATCTAGTTCACTTCCTCGTTGGTGGATGCTGATTTTCAACTGAATCTGCACAGAACTTGCTGCACTGATCAGGGGTGTGATTTCCAAGGATTTTCCTAATTAAATAATTATCATAATTGGTTTATGTGACTTCAGTTTAAATGCAAATTTTGTACTCACCGTTAAAATGTTATTTATGGAGACAAAGGTGAAAAACGGCCAGTCAGTTAAAGGAAACAGGCAATGGAGATGGTGTCAAACTTCCAGTTGGACTAAAAATGTGTGTGCCACACTTCTCCTGAAGTCTCATGCTCCTTGTCTTTTTCTTCAAGTTCATGAAATTTTAGCAAACTTTTTCTGCCAAATGAAACCTCCTCTAAAACTCACAACTGCCAGACAGGCGTTTGAAGATTCTTTGCAAGTTTAGAAGATGGATTTCTGTCATGTTTGTGCAAGAGGAAACTGAGTTATTTGTCAAGAGGACAGGTGTATGTAGTGAATATTGCCAACCAGTTTACCACAAATGTTCTTGTAAGACTAAGGCCAAGTCTGAAATGGGCTTCCAGAGCTATGGCTAGGTCTATTGTCTGTGTGTCTGTGTATTTCCAATGGAGTTACTGAATAGATGTGGATCTTGCACTTCAACTTGCTTTCAACTGAAAATTGCACTGTGTCTAACGTTCACTTCCTGGTTCTTGTATGTGTGCAATGCAAACAATTGTAACTAATTTTCGACTCAATGTGCACAAAACCTGTAGCGTGTCGGACTGGTATTCGTATCTACCCAAGTGTGGATGCAGCAGGCACAGTGTAAAAACATCTGTGACAGTGTCTGCATTTTATCACCAATTGTAGTTGGGTACATAATCTATTGTCGTTGATCGTAATTGTTGTTGATTCTCTGCATATCATTCTAACAAACTTGACAATTCTTGTTCTCGTTGCACCTAGATACATGTTCAGAGCCATTGCTTGTGGCCGGGGAACCAGTTCTAGTCACTGGAGTCTCAGCGACCAAGGGTTTGTTGGTAGTGGAACACAATAGCTGTACCCTGCATGTTCCATATCAATTCACACAAGTCAAGGTTGGTATTTGTCTCAGTTTAACCCTGAAAGAGCCATCTTTTTTGGGGGGGGGAGGGATTGGTTCAGAACATGTCTCGTACCCAGAATTTTTACAGCATTCAGTGTAGGTACATCTATGAAATTGCAATTCAATCAGACTGGGGGGGGTGTTATCATGGACATTGTGACATTGTAGTCACCCAGAAGTAGGCATGGTGCCATACATGTATGCATTTTTCAACCCCATACCCCTTTTGTACATTCAGCAACTTATGCCAAGAGACAAACACACAACATGCATGGTCTCTTCCTTGTTTTCAAGGTTTTTAAGGGATGTCACCAAAAATCTGAGGGGCTAACAGAGCTTGGTCTTTTTATTCAGGATCCTTGGGGTTCCACCTTTGATCAACTTTCAATTATTCCTTCCAAACTGAAACCGATACACCCCTCTTGTGTATTCTTAGCATTGATTGACTGCATATTGTTGGAACAGATGAGCTTTCTCTTTCAGTTCCTCTTAAATCTAAGTTTCAGCTGAGACACGACGTTTATCTTACGGGTTTTTTCCTCCTTAGACAAATGGTCTGACAGTCGGCACCAAGATATGATGAAACCCTTCCAGTATCGCTGACCTTTTATTACTGTTGCTGGACCAACTAAAAACAGGGTCTGACCGGGAGTGGAAGTGCTGGACAACACCGATACTTACAGCTTTATGTCCTAATTGTGATTAAATGCAAAAAAAGGGTCATGGACCCAAGTCATGTTGTAAAATTGAGGTTGATTATTCCCTTACAAATGTTTCCAAATAAACATTCAACACAAATCACACAAATGTTCAAGATTGGTCAAGTATTCCTCCAGTCCAAAGCAGAATGTATGCAGGGGAAAGAGCAGTGTCCACTCTCATTGTTAAATCCTGAAATCAGACTTGGGAGGGTTCAACTGATCGTTAGCCATGACTTCTAAACAACTCTTGTACATTATACTACAAAATGCCAAAGTCATGTTATGTAACAACCCCCAGTACAATGGATACATCAGAATGTTTCAGTTTATGTGCTGTAGTAATCTCAGAACAAGAGCTTGGTGAAGGCTCTGCAAGGATTTGTAAGCAGTGTAATGCATTTTTGACCATTGATCAATTTTGATCCAAACTAAACTGTTGTATTATTGCAACCAATGAGCTTGCCACCAACAACCAGTGCCATGTTTTGGCTGAGACAATAATTTCTTTTACCAATCTGGTAAAAGACAGGTATTCCGTTTTAGTACTGCATTTCTTGTAAAAATACTTGAAGCTATCAAACCAAATGAATGTAATTTAATGTGGGTGAAATGACTTCAAATCCAACAGTGCATGCTTTCAACTTAATTTTTTTTTAGCTCTGTTCATAAGGTAAACTTGCCAGTATGGTTTTTATTATTTTTGTGACCTACTTTTAAATCGATCAGAAAATTCAGAATGACTTTTACATTTTTTTTTGCTGAAAGTCGGGATGTAGTGTAAAACATTGCATCTCAGAAAGATATTTCACTGAGGAAGAGGGAAAAAATATCAACTAGGAGCAAAAGAGGATTGACAGAGGTGGATGTGACCCAAGCTATCCTTGTTTGTAGGACACCTATTATTGTAACATTAGAGAACTGGACCTTCTTGAACTGTCAAACTGGTAAAATGTTTACTTGTCACCATTATCCTCCATAAAATGATTTTAAAAAATTGTGCCAGTGTAAGAAAGAAGGAACATAGACTCCTGAGGCTTGAAGGTTAATTTTGGAGTGATCTTAAGCTATTAGGAGTTTAAAATTTGACCTAAACATACAATTTGACGTGTCCCAATTACAAGGATTTCCATTATCTTGCTTAAACACATGGCCCTGTACATACTGATATGTGTGGACAAGGGCAATGGTTATTGATTTGTAGAGAGTTGAAATAATGCCCCCAGCTTAGCATTTTAGCATGCATGTCAAGTGGGCATATGGTATGCATGTTATTGTACATTCATTTTAGTAGTAAGTTACCCACAGTGCTTAGCACTTCCTTTATTTTGTGACTGTCAGAAGTGCCGTTGGGTAAGGTAGTGGTTACAACTTACGAGCAAGTTTATGTTTGATGACTCAAAATTTCATGAGTATTAATTGGTTCTGTGCCTTCGTGGTAACTGTTATTTGAATCTTACTTTGATCAAGTTTATGCAAATAATAGTTTTGGTGAAATTGTTCAGGAAACATGCTGCAGAAATACAGGCAAGGTTTCAAGTGGGAAATAAAATCATGACACCTTAAAACTGGTTTTCCAGATTGTTATACTCCCACAGTACATCTAAATCTCATGACAACAGTAAAGTTACTGGTGAGTGCAATTAGACAGAGCACCTGCTTCTGATCAACAATGGCAGCATCTCAAACAGGCCTGGAAGATGAGCCTGGAAGATGAGCCTGGAAGATGAGCCTGGAAGATGAGCCTGGAAGATGAGCCTGGAAGATGAGCCTGGAAGATGAGCCTGGAATGATGAGCCTGGAAGATGAGCCTGG